ATTGTTTTTATTCTTTAGTTGAATATAGTTGTAGTTGTATAAACCTTTTTTATATTTGTACTAGTTACTTTCAATTTTGTTTACCTTTGTTTAAGATAATAAAAATACCGATAATTCACCGGTATTCCGGTTTTAAAATGAAAAATTACCGAAGTACCGGTATTGAAATTTTTCATCGGTATTGCATTCCCTAGTTGTCACTACCGTAACTTGGCACAATCATACCCAGTCCCTCCCATCTTAATAAATTTTATAACATTAATTAGGTATCATTAAATTTTGTTTGATTTTTGAATTTTGTCAATTTCGGATAAAGTACTCATACAATAGACAAAATGATATAATAGTACTATTTCACAAGCCAAGAAAAAAAAATCTGTAAAAGTTAATTGGCTTTTAACTGCTACTCCAAATATGCGAAAAATAATTGCTATTTATTTGTGAACTTTTTTGAAAACTTAGCATCTCATTATGTTCTTACTCTATATGTCATTCGGTCATTTTGACTATTCTTCCCTCTTATCTTAAAAACAGATATTTCAATATTATAGAATACAATTATATATTGTAGTGAAATTTACATCCACCCTTTCGTAATAATTATTAATAAATATTCATATATAACGGTCAGAATACGAACAACGCAGTTAGTGTTACTCATAGCTACAATACATTGTATGCTCGCAGTAACCTTGCAAGCATTGATAAAATTCTTTTTAAAACCACAAACTGCTCCTTAACAACGAAGTAAAGCATAGTTTTAGGCTAGGCATTGACATTGAACAAGGATTACAATGTCAAATACAAGCAAGCACATAAATACCAAGCAATGACGCATTTAGGAGTCAGTCGTCATCAAGTTTTCAATAAGTTCACATCAATATAGTTTAGTCGCATATCAATATGAGTCAGCAGTATTTAGTAATCAATTCAGTTATATTTAAGTTTAGTGTTCAAGCTATATACAAAGTGTACAAGAATCATGAAATGGACAAGTACATCAAACGTCTTCATCTATTTCACTGATTCACCTCCACAGTTGGTACCAGGTTGGTTAGAAGCAGGAAGAACCTACATTATTGTTGGCACAGTCGTTGGATGGGGCACAATAATATATATCGTCTATATAATTAATATGATATAATAAAATTAAGTTAATATGGTTAATACACTAATAGTAGTTAATATTTTATATACATAGATATTATTATTATTGTTAAGCAATAACAATGTTATATAATTTGTAAATCGTATAACAGCATAATCCACTGTTATTTTAATTAAATTTCTCGATTAAAATAAATACTTAATTTTAACTAATTAAAAATATTAAATAAAGCCAATAAAAGTTTTACTGCTCACTGATTTGCACAACGTGACGGCGTTTACTGTCATAAAGTAATTCGTCCGGAACTCAAGAAATCTCAAGTAGTCGTTTTGTTTAAGACGGCAGCTGTAATTCATTGGTTTCTTCCAGAGTTTCACAATTTTAGTTCGCACAGTATTGGAAGTGGAATTCATTATACTTAGCCATTTAGAAAATGTAATATTGAATATATAAATAATAAATGAGTTTGCGTATTATGTTGTAGGTAATAGATTCAGAAAGTTTTCAAAACATATATAAGATATATTTTGTATTAAAGTTGCATGCACTATTTGAAATTGATATAAAGTTGGGAAATAGAATTATGGTATTATTAAAATATTTATATTATCATATCGTTTGCTTTGCTTTTTCTTATAAAAAAATGCCACTTCCAAACAAAATGCTTTTTTTATAATGAATTTGATTTATCAGATTTGTAAAAGACAAAGTATTGTGCCCCTTTCCTTCTTGAAAATAAAGCAACTATTTTTATACATTATTAAAACTGAATGTAAGTTTACACGTTGTGCAATTTATTGAACAGTAAAAGTTTTATTGGCTTCATTCAATACTTTTAATTAGTTAAAATTAAGAATTGCTTTAATAAGAAAATATAACTAAAATAACAGTTGATGGTGCTGTTACACAATTTTTTAAATTATTATTGCCTTTATAATTTGTATACACTTTATTACTTCAACTTTTCTTATTTTTACACCTATCAGGTTCAGTTGGTCCTTCTCAACCCACCCGGGTGTGAGCTTTTATAGAGATTATTTAAAAAAAAAACTTTTAAATCTTTAAAATAACTTTTAAAATTTTAAATAAATAATACACCTTACAAAAATTGTTTTATATATAAATAACATGTATTTAAAAATTATATTAAGGTTTCATAAACCAAATAATAGTGAAACACAACGAAAAAAACTAACAACGAAAAAAAAATTGTTATGGATTTTCAAATATTGCTGTTTTTCTTCCGATAGCAACGTCGTGAAGATCCATGTAAGATCCACTTTCAAATATTGTAGTTAAAAAATTCTTAACTTTACTGTTTTTTACCATTATATTAATTATTTCATTATAAATATGAGAACTGTTAATAATAAAATATTATTGAAGTATTTGGTGGAATTTATAAAATTACAAAATAAAATATTTAAAAAAATGCATAATAGACAAAAGTATTTTTTTCTGACCTTGTACTTGTATCGTACATTGATGATTTATTTCATAATTAATCATCTTCTTAAATAAGTGCAATATTACAACTTGCCCTGCAAGAAATATAATATCGTTTACGATTTTATTGGAAAACGTCTACTTACCGCTGTTACATTAACTACATCTAAATCGGATGATCCGATTATGCAATTCTTTACATTGGTAACTGTGCAAAACGATTGTAACAAGGTATTTAACATATTTCTGGACTCAAAGTAAGTCCATTGACTGAATGATGACAATTTTTGTAAAGAAAATATAATTTATTAGTCAACGATTTATTATAAAGCGTTACAAAGAAAATATAGGTGAATAAATTCTAGATACAAAAATCATCGTACGGGTGTCGTTTTTAATTTCTTTATTTATTTATATATTATAATGGCATCTGACATAAATAATTTTCAGCCAACACTAAGTGTAAAACAATAATTTGCAATGCAAATACAATATACACAAATAATACAAAACAAGTATTGTATTGTATATACCACGAATGGTCCACTATCGGAGGATTCGTATTTGTAAATGTTATATACGGATCTGTGTCATTATGCTCCATCTGTTCTACTGGTGAATTTTCCTTCATGTTAATTAATTGATTTAATTTGTCTAATTTAGTTCAAGTTTATTTGTGTTTACAGTTCCTGATTTTATTATTTTTGGTATTATTAAGTTCCCGAAGGAGAAGTTTGTTTTCATCAAAAAATCCGAATTGCTAATTTTATGTTTTCTGGACGTTTCAAGCCATTCTGAATCGAATAAGACCAAATTTGGAAAAAGTATGTGTGTGTGTGTGTGAGTGCGTGTATGTGAACAGATTTTTTGCCGCAAATCGACGTTTTCTCGAAAACGGCTGGACCGATTTCAAAAATTTAAAAGCCACTCGATGTATCTCGGTGAGGACTACTGTTTGTCAATTTTGTGCGTTTCTTTATAAATCGCAGGAAAGTGAAAAATTTTTCGTCTACGCTTTAGCCCGCAATTCGTAAAGATATTGGTTGGGAATCGTGCTGATTAGTTTTTGGTAGAGATCGGCCGGGCCGTTTTCTTGTAATAAAGTTTTTTTAAAAAAAAATCGACGATTTTTATGATTATTTTTTAACGGTAGATACTATAGTCTTATAGATCATACTAAAATATTACGGCACTACTACAACTGGTTTAGCTTTAAAAATTCGTCAAAGTTTGCAAAAATTAGTATGGTCTTTTTGGCATTTGTCAAAATTAGAACTTTCAGCGACGTTTGCTCAAAAACGCCTGAACCGATTTCAGATATTTAAAAAGCAGTCGATGTATCTCAATGAGCACTATAGTTTGTCAGTTTTGTGAGACGATCTGCCGAGCCGTTTCTTTGTAAATTGAAAAAGAGTGTTAAACTTTTCGTCCACATTTAAGCTCATTCTACCGAACCGGTTTTTAAAAAATCAAAAACTGTTCTTGACATCAACTTCAAGAAGACTGAAGAAGAAGCTGCCCGAAGATAATATGGAGGAACCTTAGAACTACCACATCCTTATATGAATAGAATACAGAATCACTTATTGAAGTAATTCTCTAAATATGATTGTAATATTGATCCGATAAATTTATATGTGTGTTTGAAAGTGTGTGTGTATGTGTGTGAGTGAATGACATAAGCCAAATAGCTCATAGAATAGTCATGTATTCTGATTGCTATTGAAAATGAAAATTAAAAAAAGATGATTTAGTTGGTATAACGATAGTGTACTTGGTCTTGAACGTAGTAAACCATTAAAGTCCTACGGAAACTGGATTAATTATAATTATTAATTAATTGAAATCATTGATTTTTGAAATTTTGCTTTTAGAAAATACTCCGAGTTAACGTGTTCGTTCGTTCATTTGCAATGATGTGTTATAAATCCACTCGGAATACTTATAATCACTCATAAATTAATTTATTTTTTATTGATTAAGTCGATTATTTACACATTTCGGGAAGTTCATGTAACTTGTCTCAAGGCTAAATACCAAACCAACTAGTTTCAGTGTTAATTTTAACGTTTTTTTTTTGTGTTCTTGTTGAGACAAGATCTGTTTTTGTTTATTTTTCTATTTACTAATGACTCTACTATAGTTTTACTATCACTTAAATTTTCAACTTCCATAATCTTGTCATTATTGATATTATACATAGTTTTTATTGCACTAGATACACGCTCTCCGAGTTCGTCTAGGCCCATTGTTCTCGCAGTTATTTACCTGTCCGAAGGTAGTATTACTCATATCAATCCACTAATCCACTTAGCACGATGTTATCATTTCGACTGCTAGAATCAAACTGGAGTGTCGTTTATATCTGTGAAATTTTGTTAAAAATAAAGTCTACCTTTTTAATTCAAATAAAAAACTCAGTGTTATCTTTATTCTTTTTTCCCAGATGGTGACACAGGGCTTTCGCTGGCACCTCTATTTGCGGTTCTAGCGGGCGCTCTATTAGCGTTAACGCTTGCCGTCGTGGCAGTCCGACGGCGGTTGCACGAAGCACGTAACGGTCGCCGCGGCGGTCCAAATGGCGGTGTACCCAGCAGTGGAGCGAATCACCATGGGGGCGGTGGCGGTTCTGTGATAGGAGCCGGTGGAGTGAAATCTCAACAGACGACCACAGCTACAGATAAAATATTAGAGCCGCCGGATCAGCTATTAGAGATCAACAGTGGTGAGCAGCGGTACGTTTTGGCGTATACGCTGAAAAGGCCGGACGCAGCCGCTACTATGACAGCGCCCGCGGAGCCTGATATTCTCAGCGCGCAAAGGGGTATGTAGAAACGGTTTTATATTTGCATTTAACCATTAAATTAGATTCTCTGAAAATCAAACTAAACAGGAAATGAAATCATTGCCGACCACACTGGAAAAAACTAGGTCTCAAAATTTACTAGAATTATAAATAATTAAATTTTTTAAAGCTATTGGTTCAGATTTGGACGCGCATAAATTATAATGTGGCGATATCAAGCAGGCTGGTTTTGATTTGTAAAAAACAATCGGACATGTCATGTATATTTTTGATATCGAAATATTTTTATAGTTAATAAATTTATATTTTTTTTATTGTTGGGAGTTTCTAATTTAATATATTGTCATAATCATTACTACTCCCACATTGTGGCGATATCAAGCAGGCTGGTTTTGATTTGTAAAAAACAATCGGACATGTCATGTATATTTTTGATATCGAAATATTTTTATAGTTAATAAATTTATATTTTTTTTATTGTTGGGAGTTTCTAATTTAATATATTGTCATAATCATTACTACTCCCACAATAAAGACATACGATTTCACAGATACAACAGCGTTTATTACTATTATTTATTAGAGATTGGGTTGTCCAAGAATAAACTAGTTTGAACTTTTATATAGATTATTATAAAAACTGTAACTATGTCTAACATTTATAAGTTATATTAACTGAATTACAAAGTTAAAATTATTTATTGATAGTAAATAAGTGATTTTTAGAACTTTAGCCAGAATTAAAATTAAAATCTAAATTATTTTCGATAGGGAAAAAAATGTTATGCAAAAAAAAAATTGAACAAAAAATGTCAAAACAAGCAGAAAGTTTTTTGAATCGTTCAAATCGGAGGCTTGGTCCTCTCAAAAAATGCAATTTTTTGCACATTTAGCTCGGTTAAGTTCTAAACTAGTCACCACTTCTCCCCGTCATTACAAATTGAATGTTTTTTGGATCATTCAAATCGGATGCTCCGTTCTCTTAAAAACTCGATTTTTATTTTCTACACTCTTTGCTCCGTATCTCCAAGCTGCTGGACCTGCCTTTGCCAAAAACTAATCAGCACATTTTCTCTTAATAGGAATCGAATGTTTTTTAACTTCCCGTAGGGTAAGTTATTGTAATGGGCCGAAAATCGGAATTGAAAATTTCTACATTTCTCGACGTTTTGAAGGTTTCTGAACATTTTGGCATACTTCAGAAAAAATGGATGTGTGTGTGTGTGTGTATGTATGTATGCATGGATACAATTTTTCATCCACGTTTTCGGACGTACGGATTCAAATAGCTTTCTGCTAATTACAAAGAAACTGCTCGGGCGATTGCCGGACAAAGGATATAAACAATAGTCCTTACCGAGTTATATCGAATGGCTTTTAAATTTTTTAAACCGGTCCAGCCATTTTTGACAAAACGTTGATAAATGTCAAAATTCAGCTCACATACATTCACTTTTTTTCAAATTTGATATCATTCGATTCAGAATGACTTGACACATCGAAAAAATATACAATCAACTAATTTTTTTTAGCAAAACCAAACTGTTAGTGGTTAAAGAACTTAACGTAATATCTACTCATAATATGTAAAAATATGTAATTAGTAATCAATACGATAAGATGCTAAGCAATATTCTGGTTGTATAACTTAAAAATGCGGCTTATAAGAATAAATAAAATTGAACAAGTTTTGAGTACAAATATTTCATTCCACAATGCATACATACATTCCTACTGCCTTCATAATTCAAACTGTCCAATTATTGCAAATATATAATCATGTGTGAAACTCAATTATCACAGAATAATTTCATTAGTCTATATACAATTTAATTGTTTACTGCTAATATACGTAAAATATTTCTACAAACACTAATTGGAAATTTACATTAAAATATATCACCTTTACTAAATTTGCAACGAAATATTTCCATTTCCAGCAAGCAAAGTAAGCGACTCGATAATAAACTAAATTAAAATCTCGATGGCCCCCGCGGAACGACTGGAATGTTGTAATTAGGTCACGAAACAGGAGCAAAATAGTTTTTGTGTATTGTTGCAACTTTGGATGCAAAAAATCTCCAGCTAGTAAAATGCAGTTTTACAATTCTGTTTTCGGACAGTTATGTGTGTTTAGTTTTATTGCTGAGCGAACAAGTAGAAACAGTACAACGGGCGGACGGGCGGACGGGCGGTCGTACGGGCGTACATAGAAATCCGAAAACCGCTGTATATATGCAATAGTGATAAAGTAGGTGCATGTGTAGCGAATCGCTAACTTTTTTAATTCTGTTAGAAGCTGGCCAGGCGATCGTATTTTTGAATCTCGACATCGTCGACCAAACAAATCTTGTCGTTAGCGTAAAGTGCAATACCGCGCACCGAAATAATTGTTTCGCGAATCACTACCGCCGAATACGAGTTTCTTAACTCGGTTATGTAAATTGAATTTATTGTAAAGTTTGGATGTAAAGATATAATTATCGGTACGCAGGCGCAGTTAAGTCAAAACATATACAAACGCGCATATAAAACAATGTTTTTACAGTTACATTAATCGTTTCATGTAGGAAATGAGCCTTGCCTAAGTATATTTCAATATTTAGAAGATTGCTTAAATTACTCTCATGCTAGCTAAATATGTGTTTTATGTAGGCTGTTATTTATTGTTTTATCCAATATTGTTTTAATGGATGAAGGGCAATACAGGCTAAATCTGGGCTTCACGTTGGGCATATAATCTTATGGTTATATTTGTTGTAGCTTGTCTCGGATTTTGATGAAACTTGGCATAATGATAGATTTTAGGCCTAAACTTAGACCATGGTAAAATATTAGAGGCTTATGAGAAGTTTTATTTAATCGAAGAAAGAAAGAAGTTTCATGAAATGTATTGTTAATCATAAGTTAGATTCAACAAATTTTTTATATTACTTCTATAATAGCTAATGTGATTAGGGTAAAAAGGATCAACTGAACATTTACCTGTCAAAGTCGTAAGCACTAAAATGTTGAATAAAAATGTAAATTGAGTTAAAAATCAATTTTGCAAGAAATAAATTAAATCAATAAAAATCTTCCAACTCTGCTGATAAATATTTTTGACAAAATGCAGAATAAGGCCTACGGATAAAAAGATCCATCACCAATATCTCAAAAACAAATATGGTTGAGATTTTTTTAACAAAAATATTTATATTTTTCATTGGTTGAATAATTTATCTATAATTTTCCATATAAAATTTAAGTACAATACATTGAAATAAAATTAAAAATAATATATTGGGCCTGTTAGCAGGTGACGAATTAAGAAAATAAAACAGATTTCTACAATGATGAAGTTGGTAGTTTTGCTGAACATAGTCAGTTAGTTGATTGTTTGATGTTATGATATAATTGGTTAGCGCAGTTAAATTAATAAATTTATTAATACGTGTTGTTGTGTCTGGTCCATTAATTAGCGCTATTGGTCGGCTTGTTGTTTCGTACAGCAGTAACTTTACAATATAATTGCTCAAAAGCAAATAGGAGCTTTTTGTCTACACTGTAGGCCTACAGTGTTGTCTCCGAAAAAATGTGCCATAGAAGTCTATATTTTGCGTCGGGTGAACATTGTAGCTATTATTTCAAATAATTCCTTTGAATTTAAAAATAAGACCGACATCTGTTCGCCCTTGGCAGTTCCGTTATACCCTGCAAATGTGGTAAAAAAAGAGAGAGATGACAAATTTCAGAAAAATAGTAAAAAAGCACAATTCTATAATTGGAAATTAACTAGGAAATTTACTGAACATAGTACAGTAGTTGTTTGTCTGATACGTCTTACGAGTTGTGTATTATAACTTTTTTTATTTTTTTTTTTTAATTTATTTTCAATAGCAATCTTCTAAGTTAATTGATTTATATCATTCACTCACACACATACACACACACTTTCAAACACACATAAATTATTGTGATAAATACTATATCGATAGTTGGAGAACCACTCCAGTAAGTGAATTCACCAATACTGTTCATATATGCAAAGATGTGGTAGTGCTAAAGGTCTTCAATATTATCATCGAGCAGCTTCTTCTTCAGTCTTCTCGAAATTGGTGTCTCAAAAAACTGGTTGACTATAGAATTTGAATGATGCTCCAGTTTTTAAAATGTAATGCTAAAGGTCTTCAATATTATCATTTTGCAGCTTCTTCTTCACTCTTCTTAAAATAGGTATAGTAACTGGGCGACCCCAGTTACTCCAGTTTTTCAAAATGCTAATTTTTATAACTTCGTTATAAGTTCTTCCTTGAGATCGTCGTGTATAATAACTTAACGTCAAATTTGGCCTTTGTGTCCTACCCTACTGGCACTATATTTATAAAAAGAGTGCGCGTAAGGTTCAAATACAATTGAAGTAAAACTTTTTTGCTCTTGTACAAGATGGCATTTAAGTTAAAAATAAATACATCATATACATATTTATATAATAATAAATTATAAATTTATAATAGCATTAAATATATTTATAATATTTAAAAACAATAATGCAATTAAAGTCATATATCAAACACGACATGATCGGTTTGCCATTGGAATTAGCATCTAGGACTTGAACCTTTATTAGATAAATAAAGTTATTACTGATTAATAAATCCTATAATATTCGTTCACACAGTGGACATCTGTAATATCACAATCTTGAATAATTGCATTAACACTAGCAATCTGTATATAAATGGTACACAGCTACATAAACTATTGTTATGCTTGATACTTTATAATACTCAATAGCCATCATAAACGAAAAACATGTAGACTTCTTCTAAAATTCCAAAAGTGTCCGAGATATATTTCTGAAAAAGATACATCTTCTGTATGATTACTAAAGCTGTGATGCTTTGATATTTTTTAATATTTATAAAAATGCAGATAATTATTATGTTAAACAACGCATAAATAAATATTGTTTTCACAATTTCACTTGTCATGAAATTGTGTTTGAAAAACTTGATGTAATTAAAATAAACAACAAT